GAACCTGTTTGACTGAGCATGGAGTTTAAGAAAAAATTAAGACTTGGAATTTATGGTCCTAAACAAGCCAAAAATGGGCCCAGAATATTTGTGTGGTTATAAAAGCTTATCATTAAGGGTACAATTGTAAGTTTAAGCTAAATTATTATCAAATTTAGAAATGGGTCATTCTTTTTTTAACGGACCAAAAAAAAAATAGGTTCACATAAACTGAAAAAGAGGGAGTGGTGTGTTTGAAAAAGAGGGAGTAGTATGTTTTGCGGTTTGAAGATTGGAAATGATTATATAATATAGTGCTTTGAATATTTTTTCATAGTCTGCTAGAATTTGCTTTTTAGTAAGTTTGATTATGTCGGTACAATATATACTATTAAATATAGTAGAATTATTAATATATATAAGTACGTGGATACTTTGAAAGCTAAAAGTAGATGTTTGCGGTACTAAAAGTTATGTTGGATACTTTGAAACAAATGCTTCAAAAAGACACTGCTAATATGTCTTTATTTTAATAAGGTATATATCTCTTTAATATCGGGTTAAGAAGGTGCTAAGCAAGTACTCTTGCTCCTTTTTCCTAAATGTACCTTTCTTTTTTTAGAAAATTTATTTTTGTAAATACATATAGATATGAAATTTTTATGTCTTATATATCAACTATATTTATAAGGTAACATTTGGCAAATTTATTGATATCTTTTATAACGAAGCACGGTATATTCACTAGTAAATATAAAATTTTAAGTCACTATCAAAACAAATTTTATATTTAGAATAACTGTACAATATACCAGTTGTAAAACGGAATAGGAATTATTCAGTGCAGCTTTAATCAAAACGCGTTCCATTACCATTAGATTCGTAGACAGTGACTGACGATTCTTTCATCTTCTTTGCACTTGCTTTAGTCTCTATATATTTATTCTTCTTAAAAACCCATTTACAGAAAACCCAAAATTAGTGCAAAAATTGACAATTAATGGCAACTCTAGGAGGAATTCGTGAGGCAGGAGGATCTGAGAACAGCCTTGAGATCAATGATCTTGCTCGCTTTGCTGTTGATGAACACAACAAGAAACAGGTCCCTCTTTTTTGCTTTTCCTTATTCTGTTGTATTTTGTGGTTATATTTCCTATTTGTGAATTTGTTGGAGCTAGGGCTGTCAAATTTGGCAAAAGCCCAAATGACCCGCTGTGAAAATAGCACGAGCTAGCCAATTTTCGGACTGGTAATTGAAAAATAGTCCGCGTTTGCCAAGTCATTGGAAAATAGTCACTATTCCTGCCTATTATGCTAGTTTTGTTCTAGCATAATATATTGGAGATTGGAGCACGTGTGCATCAACTTCCGTCATATTATGCTGGACCATTATATTATGCTGGAACTCCAGTATATTATATTGGAACAACAATATATTATGCTGGAATCTTTTTCGGATTTTGAACAGTGTATTCGTTCAGATTTATCTTTACATGAAAAGTGGCTAAATTTCGATTACTTTTGAAACTGTGACTATCTTTTAATTATCACTTGTAAATCTGGCTATTTTTGAATTTCACCCCAACCCGCTCAAGGTTGGACTGATTATTTATTGAACTCAGTTCATCTTAGCCCAAATCATCTCAACCCATTTAAAGTTGGGTTGATTTTTAACCCCAATTAATACATGAGTAACTTTGACCCAAAATATCTTAGAAATATTCAATTCATAAGAAAACAATGCATCTTAATTAAAGCTTTGGTAAGAGTTGGACGGGTAGGGCTATGACCTAAATTTTAGCCCTTCTTGACCCAACCCAAGTAACATTTGAGCAGGTCATTAACTCCAACCATTTTAACCGCCCAAAATCGATTCAATCCGCCCATTTGACACCCCTAATTGGAGCTGAACTTTGTTTTTATCCCCTGATTGTGGAATTGATTTTGTTTGTTCCTCTTATATTTACATAGGGTTGCAATGTGTTTGTCAAATATTCCCATGTTCAAATGTTTCTTTTACCTGTGTTATTTTACTTTTTAAAACAAAAGAAACTGTTATATAAAAATGAGTTTGTTGTACTCACTGTCACTGTAAGCCTTCTTAAAATGTGTGATTTGATAGGTTACTTGCTACAACATGTAAATATGACTTGATAGTGTAAAAAATTTTTTAAACTGAAGTTGTATGTAACTTAAACAAAATTAAAAAAAAAATCAAGTTATTAATCCACTATGTCTCAATTTTCTTTAAAAGGGAGATTTGATTTTGTAGTTCATTACAAATGTTATTTTTAGTTATATGATCCTTGAAGATCAGCAAAAATAACAACGGAGATCTTTACATAAAACACAAGAGATCATAGTTGGAGCAATTTCTTCTATAAAAATCTTAAGTGGGTGCAGCCGTACGAGAGATCATTTTCTCTAAATTAGGTGAACTCAACTTACTGCAATCCTCCTTCTCAATGGCGGATACCTTATTACAAGCGGTATCATCGAACATGACAATGCTTCATCGAAAGATGTCAATGAATATGTGTAGATTAATTTTTTTTTAAAAGAAAATAATATGTATAGATACAATATGCTAATGCAAAGTAACATCTTTCTGGAATAGGAAGTAAAGCCTCAAAATCTCCACAATCCTAGATCTAAACTCATGTACAAGCCGAATTGTGATAATGTACTGATAACAGAATATCCTCCAAGCACCTACATTGTTAGTTGAAGTTTTAAGCTAGGTGCCGACTATGATAAGTGGCTATCTAGTGGTTACACCAAAAACTTGTATGAACAAGTGGTTTGACCATTTAGCACAAATATTTAATGCCTGACCTGCTTATGAATAGTTTTAAGGCTACTAAGCTAAGAGCTGGGTAAGTAGAGAAGGGTAGATGGGTGGATCCATTGCCGAACCTAGCGCCATCAGCACTCAGGGAATTTCTCGGTTATCAAAAAGATATTTTCTTGATCCAAAATTATGTGACACTATTTGTCTTTCAGGAGTTAATTTGATCAGTTTGCCTCAAACAAGCGATAAACTTATTAATCTTTTCAAATGTAAATGTTGTAGATATATTCTGAAACAACATCATTTATAGTAATGATTTAGACCTTTAGTCATTAGCTTCATAGGTAATGATTTAAAGAAAATTTCAGTCGGAGTTTCATCTTTTTGAATCTTGAATGTTGAATTGCATCTCATAGTTTTGGAACAAAGTGAGTACTAGCTTATAAGTTGCTAAACTAATTGAGATAAGCTTGTACAAATGTTCAAACTTCTATCTTGTTTAAGTTCATTTTTCATTAGGATGCGGTAGTTTAGATAGTGCTTTTTCATGGTGGGAATGAGAGCCAAGAGAAGAGAAGAGAAGAGCTGCATTCTTCCAAACAGAAATAACAAAATAAGTATTTTAGTCTTTTTGATGCACATATTTATGTTTTTTTACCACTTTAGTAAGTCTAAAAAATAAGGGAGCCCAGTGCACTAAGCTCCCGCTATGCGCGGGGTCCGGGGAAGGGCCGGACCACAAGGGTCTATTGTATACGCAACCTTACCCTGCATTTCTGCAAGAGGCTGTTTCCACGGTCGAACCCTTGATCTCATGGTCACATGGCAACTTTACCAGTTACGCCAAGGTTCCCCTTCCACTTTAGTAAGTCTGAATTGCATAAATCTTTGCTAGTGTCTCTGTGATTAAGCATGTACAGGGACAGCCTTTATCTTCTTTGCACTTCGTTACGACAGAGATTGATTGCTTCAGCACTCATGGATCACTATTCTTGCTTTTTGAACAATGTTCTATATCAGAATGCTCTTTTGGAGTTCGGGAAGGTTGTGAATGTGAAGGAACAAGTGGTTGCTGGAACCATGTACTACATAACACTGGAAGCAACTGAAGGTGGTAAGAAGAAAGCATACGAAGCCAAGGTCTGGGTGAAGCCGTGGCAGAACTTCAAGCAAGTTGAAGACTTCAAGCTTATTGGGGATGCCACTAGTGCTTAACAACTGCTAAATGAATGCCTCTTATGTTTGTGAAAATAAAGGTAACATATTTTAGCTTGCCAATATTTGAATATCGTAAAGTAAGCTTTTAACTATGCCGTAGTGTTAAGTTACAGGGATCTGTAACTTTACAATGTTCCATATTTCATATTATATGGTCCTCCATATGATAGTTCTATGCTATATCTTGTATATGTACTGCTTTTCTGTTGCTAATATATATCTGAGAAGCATAAGCAATTGCCATTTTTCCTGAGCTTTGCGTGTAGGTCAACAACCAGCATAAAAATAGTTATAATGAATCTTCATATTAATGAATGCATTCAGGTCCCTACTAAAAGTTTCAACGAACATGGATAATTGTTTCTTCAAGCTGTTTGCTTTGCTTTGGTGCAGTATACTCGACATTTGGTTTCTAAATGCTTTCCAATAGGATGGGGAGCCTTGGAGCAACGGTAAAGTTGTCTCCGTGTCACCTATAGGTCACGGGTTCGAGCCGTAGAAGCAGCCACTAATGCTTGCATTAGGGTAGGCTGTCTACTACACACCCCTTGGGGTGCGACCCTTCCCCGGACCTTGTATAAATGCGAGATGCGTTGTGCACCTGGTTGCCGCTAGCACTTGGTGTTGGTAATGCTTGTTTCTACTATTTCTTTCTTCCTTCCTGAGCTGAGTATTTATTGGAAACAGCCTCTCTACCCTCCCACGGTAGGGGTAAGGTCTGCGTACACACTACCCTCCCCAGACCCCACTTATGGGACACTACTGGGTGGTTGTTGTTGTTGTTTGTTGTACAGATTGAGGATCTGTAATCGTCATGAGTTGTTGGTTGGGCTGGATGGATCGAAATTTTCATAATTCATTCTTTTTCTTATGTTGGCGTGAAGATGTAGATATACTTCTTTTGTGCTTATTATCCTGACATGGCAGGTTTTAGACATTTAGTACAACAAACTACAGAAATGCTAAAAACTCATTTGTAGCACAGTTGATTTTGTCACAGTTTCATTCTCAGGTTTTTCTGGCTATATGAAATGTTTATTCTTCCACCTCCGTGCCATCCATGAACGCGAGAATTAGAGCGGGGGAATGAAAACATATAATTAAAGACGTTTCCTGTTGCGAGTTTGGTAGCATATTGTTACAGTCTCGATACTGTTGAATAGTTTACAATGTTTTTCTCCAGTCAAAAAAATAAAGTTGATTTGGCAGTGCCGTAATTTTATTGTGGTCATCAATATGGAGTTCTTGAATTGGTCGATAGTAGGCAGCTATATTGCATGGACTCTTCAAAATGTTGCCTCACCCGTGTCGGATCCTCCAAAAATACACTACTTTTGAAGGATCCGACACGCACCCGGAGAAATTTTCAGAGGGTCCGAGCAACATAGGTAGGCAGAGATCATTCTGCTAAAAATTATCCTATAAATCTCTCCGAGGGAGGAGCTACAACATGCGAAGGGTGGTCAATTGACCATCTTTCACTTTTGCTGGAAAATTATAATGTATATATAGGTCAAATATGAACATTCTTAATGAAATTTTTGGCTTTGCCACTAGTGCTAACAAGTAGTGGTATTGTGATGTTGATGATATGTTGAGAGAATTAGGTAGAGGAAAGGCTCTTTGTTGCTACACAAGAAATACAGAGTATGACATGCCATGGAGTAGTATAATATTAGATTAGTAAAGAACAAGGAAAAGGAAAAAATACTTATTGTTATGCAAGAATTGAAGTATAAAGTTTTAAATTCTTAAAAATATATGGATCGTCAAGAAAAAGAAAATGGTACACAAGCTATGTAGATGAGCCTCCATCCTTTAACTTCCAATAACTATAGAATCCAGCAATAACATTCGACGAACAACCAAAGGCGGATCTAGAATTTGAAGTTTATTGGTTCCTGCAGTGATCTCAAGTTAATATACAACAATAACTGGGATAAGAGTCAAATATTTATAGATAGTTTAGAATTTCTTAGTACATGAGTATATAGAGTCTGAGCAAAAGCTACTGGGTTCACGTGAACCCGTAACTTTCATGCTACATCCGCCTACGTCGAACAACTACTGATATGGTCAAATGCTACTGAACTTTATAACTTTTTTCTTTCAAAACGAATATGAAATTAAAATACCTGATGTCATGTCGTAAGGTCGTTCGATAACATGAAGAAAGCTTCTGTTTGATCTTTTTCAATGCTGCTACAACATTAGTCATGTTCATCCTTTCAGCTGCAATATTAGCTGTGCAATTCATGGCTAACTCCATGATTGCTGATACACATTGCAGCTTTTGACTTAAGTTTTCTTCATCTAGTGTTAGTAAGTTGGCATCTATGATTTTATTCAGCTCATCAGGAAGCGAATTATGCACGAAACTTCTCAAATTCAAATCTCCGAACATTTCATCATTAGGTTTCTTCTTTGTAAAGGTTTCCAGCAACATGATACCATAACTATAAACATCAGACCTCTTGGATACAATGCCTTCCAAACCATACTCTAACAAAGAAAAGAAAAATATGTCAGCAAGTAAACTTATAACGCGTTAATCAATTACATTTTATTATCGTATCTCTTTTTGACTATGCTGTGAATTTGTTTTTCCTGAGCCGAGTGTCTATTGGAAAGTACCAGTGGCGTAGCCACATGTATTGAAGGGTGGTCAACCGAACACCCTTCATCGAAAAATTATACTGTATATACAACAACAACATCAACAACATCAACAACAATAACAACAACAACATCATCATCAACAACAACAACAACAACAACATACTTAGTGTAGTCCCACAAGTGGGGTCTGAGGAGGGTAGAATGTGCACACACCTTACCCCTTCCTTTAAGAAGGCAGAGAGACTGTTTCCGGTAGACCCTCAGCTCAAGAAGGAAAAAGGGGTGGGGCAATAACAAACAAACCAATCTGACAACCAAAGCAAAAACTGTATATATAGAAACATATATTTTGTATATAGGTCAAAAATTATTTTTTGTGTATATTAACTTTTGAACACCCTTTGCGAAATTCCTGGCTTCACCACTGTCGGAAACAATCTCTCTACCTGCACAAGGTAGGGGTAAGACTCAAACCCCACTTTTGGGATTACACTGCGTATGTTGTTGTTGTTGTTGCGTTAATCAATTACATTGTTACAAAGTTAAATAAAGAATTCACCTGGAGCAATGTAACCAATAGTGGCAAAGGTTGTAGTGTGAGCAATAGATTCTTCCTTAGTCAAAAGTTTAGCAATGCCAAAGTCAGTTAGGTGTCCCACCATGTCATTGTCAAGTAACACATTGCTAGGCTTCAGATCACAGTGAATAACCGGTACTGAGTAACCATGATGGAGATATTCTAGAGCAGATGCAACATCAACCATGATATTCAATCTCTGCATTATATTTAAACAATAATCTCGCGAATGTAGCAACTTGTCTAAGCTCTCATTTGGCATGTACTCAAGTATCAGTGCTTTAAAATCCAAGTTACAACAACTGCTTATGATTTTGGTGAGATTTCTGTGGCGAAGAGTCCGCAAGATTTCACATTCTCTGTCAAAAGTTTGAAATGTACCTTCCATCTGCACATTAAAAACTTTAACAGCTACTATCATCCCATCTGCCAATGTCCCTTTGTAAACAGAACCAAAACTTCCACTACCTATCAAGTTATTTCCATCAAATCCCTGAGTTGCTCTTTGAAGTTCATAGTAAGAAATTCTTTGTGGCGCTATCTCAGGCGACCACTCATCTTCAGCATTGACTGTTTTAACCCGACGTCTCATCAATATGAAAACTATTGATGAAACAACCCCTATTACAAAGATAACCAAAGAGGCAACTAAAATCCATATCAATCTTCTTTTCTTTGAATTAGAAGGACAAGCTGGGACATGCTTTTGAGGGTTACCACATAATCCTTCATTCGACATGAAAGATTGGAAAGGAAGATGGACAAAAGGTCCTCCACTCGGAATTTCCCCGTGTAACCTATTGAATGATACATTAAAGGAGTGTAGTTGCTGAAGTGCCTCTAATGACTTTGGAATCACACCAGACATATTGTTATATGAAAGATCCAACGCTTCCAAACTTACGAGTTTCCTAAATGTTTCAGGTATTGATCCTTCAATTCTGTTATGAGCCAAAGATAGTTGAGTCACCTTCAGTAGACTTCCTAATGTATTAGGTATGTTACCAGATAATTGATTCCAAGAAAGATCTAGAAGTATTGCAGCCTTGAGATTTCCAAATTGTGGTGGTAGAGAGCCATTGAAGAAATTAGAGGACAAGTTCAACTTCAAGATGTCTTTGAGATTCCATAGACTTAAAGGTATGTTAGCAGTGAAGTTATTTGAATCAAGATAAACCTCCCTTAGGGAAGTCAAATCCCCTAAACATGTAGGAATACTTCCCCTCATTTGATTTTGTGAAAGTTTTAGAAAAAACAAGCTAGATAGCTCACACAAACCATTTGGAAAAGGACCACTTATTCTATTTACACCAAGTGAAAGTTGTTGAAGGTTTGTCAAAGAACTTATCGTCGTCGGGACAATGCCAGTAAAGTCATTGTCTTCTAGCTCCAAAGAAGATAAATTTATCAAATTTCCAATTTCATTTGGAATATGGCCCTTGAGGTTACAACCTATCGCCGAAAACCACTGAAGAGAAAGATTGCCAATAGACTTTGGAAGCACTGCATTTAGGGGATTGAAAGATAACCTCAAATCTACTAAGTTTATCAAAGGAGTAATAAAGCTCAGTGTTGAAGTTTCACCAATAAAGGAGTTGCTTTGTAAGTGGAGAACTTCAAGAAGTCTTAAGTTTACTAGAGATTTAGGAATAGAACCTGTAAGTTCATTTCCACCTAGTTCAAGAACTGTAAGCTTAGACAAATTTGAGATGGAACTTGGTAATATACCATTAATATTGTTTTCACCTAGAAATATTCCTTCAATATTAGGTAAACCATGGCCTATAGTGGAAGGAAGATGACCTGAAAAGTGGTTATCTGATAGTGAAATAGATACAAGAGTAGAGATATTGAAGATACCAATAGGGATAGAACCACTAAAGTTATTCAAATACAATGAAAGGTCCACCAACTCTTGAAGGTTACCAAGTTCATCTGGAATTACACCTGCAAAAAGTAAAGGTGAAAGAAAAGAACTGTCATATTTTTTCAGAGTATTCGTGTGACTGATAGGTCACGAGTTCGAGCCGTGGAAGCAACCATTAATGCTTGCATTAGGATAGGCTGTCTACGTTACACCCATTGGGGTGCGACCCTTCCCCGTACCCTGCGTGAATGCGAGATGCTTTGTGTACCAAACTCCCCTTTTTTATAAATAAATATAAAACTGAACTGTAAAATTATGTGGATTGGATTTTTTATCGATACCTGTTAGGAAATTATTTCCAAGATCAAGTGTGGTAAGCATAGTCAAATTTCCAACGTCTCTTGGTAAAGGTCCTTCAAGCATGTTACCACTCATAAATAAAAATTCAAGTGATGAAATGTTGAATATGGTTAAAGGGATCGAGCCCTTTAATTTATTTTTTTCCATGACTAACAGCTTCAAGTTATAAAGATGACCAATCTCGTATGGAATTGTGCCTGTCAAAAAATTATCACATTAAAAAAAATCATATATTTAACAAGAGCTTAATTCTATACAATAATGCTCATAGAAAATCAAACCAACCATATATAATATATTTGCAGCTGACAATAGCTTAAGCACAGGGCAGGCTGGAGCCTAACGCCATAAGGCAATGGCCTTAGGACCCAAAATACTTAGGGCCCAGAATCTTTAAATAATATATATAATATTTAATAATTATGCACTATTGATAGAACTTTTAAAGCATTTGGTTAAAATAGTTATAGCTAAATAATTTACACATCTTAAATTGTAGTTACTAGTTGTTTCCTATCTTTAATTTGTCCCAACTTAAATCGATCTTCTTACAATGTTAGTTTAGATCGAATAATTTTTCTTAATTCTTTGAGTGTCTTTATAGACATTTTTCAAGTTACTTTGATAAGTAACTATTAAAATTTGTCCTTAACGTGGAATGACTCTTGAAACATAGTAGTTACTAAAGTATTATTTGTTTCAACTTGTATTTAGAATTAAAAGTACTAAGAGAAAACCGTATGAGTAGAAAAATACTCTAATGGACAATTTCAATCAGGTAAAAAGTATTAATTCAGTTACCATTAACAATTTTTATATCATTGCCTCGGCTGAAAAAGTTTTTCAAAACTAAATCAATAAAGTTCAACATGATAACACAAGAGATATTAAACAAATTGGTTAGACATTGACAATAATTAAAATTGATTATAACTTCTTTAGATTTCGATAAATTATAAGAGAGAAAAATAATTACAAAAACTTAAGGCCTCACTTTTTATTTCGTCTTTGGCGTTATATTATGTCGAGTTGCCCTTGCATAAGTAACATATATAGTGCTAGTTTACATTAAATAGTTTTTAATATTTGAAACCTAATTATTTCTTTCGTACCAATTTGTTCGTGTTCTTCTCATTGTTTTCACATAATTTTCTTGGCTCATGTCTTTAGCTTTTAAAGTCCGATTCTTGGTTGCATAACTCCACTCTTAAAATTGATTTCAAGAAATTCATTATGATCACTGCCTCATTGTATTTGAGATCTCCGCAGGGAAGGGGCTTGCTATCGTAACCTTTTCTCCCGGTGTATGTGAAAAAGCCTATAGATGAAAATCATAAACTTAAAAAAAAGAGAAAGGAACCCTTGGATGATGCAAGCATCCGAGGTTTGTGGAAAAACTTAGATATCTTACTATCACTAAACCTGACATAACCTATTCTGTGAGGTTGGTAAGCCAATATATGCATACTCCGGATGACTCTTTAGCAACCAGGGTAATCCGACCCCTTCGATGCTTTTTTTTTGCTATATACCCCCTGCATCCCAGGTCCGGATATTCGCTAGCATCAGTCTAAGCAGCTTAAGTTTTTGAAGAAAAAAGTGGAGAGAAGAAAGGATGGTTGGGTAGTTGAAGCATATGTGATTTTTGAGTTCGGTTCGAACCTTGAGGGGCTTCCAAGAGAGTGAGGAAGATAAACATGATTAGAAAAAAAAATTATAATTCTGAGAGAATGTCTGGCGTTAAGGATAGTTCCAGTGGTTATTAAGACTCCAGTTCAAGCCGAAGGAGCTGACGACATCTTGCAAGCTGTGATGCAATAAATATAATATCAACATGGTTTAAGGGGAGGCAAGAGAGGAGCTAGGCATGACAGAGGATTTGGTATGCGATAATAGAATTAACACAATAGAGAAGATAGAATTTATGATAGTTGGAAGGTTAAAAAAGAAGATGAATAATGTTGAGTAATAATTGGGTCTTGTTATAACCCAAGTAGCATTAAGACCTTTCAAATAAGGTGGAATGGGTTGGCATATCAAGATTTCACTTCAAGCTTAAAAGTGAAGACTTGGTGGCTAGAACCAATCACTAAGGCCCAAGCAGATTATGTGGAATTTGAATTGATAAAATTGATGTTATGTTTGTTAAGATTGAGGCTATGTTTTTGGTATGAAGGAAAATATTTTTTAATTTTTTCATATTTTATTGGCTTAAATATTTTGCAAAATATTTTTCTTATGAACTCATTTTCCTCCAAATGGAGAAAAATAACTTTCCTATCAAGAGGAGAAAAAATATTTTCTAAAACTTTCTTTCTATCTTCCCCACCCCCAATCCACACCCTNCCCGACTAACCTCCCACCCCGTCCTACCACCCACTCTTCCCTGTTTCCCTTCCCCTAGGGTGAGGTCGAGGTCGGGGTCGAGACTTGGGGTCAGGATTGGGGTCCAAGGTTTAGGTTGGAGTCAAGATCGAGATTAGAGTTGGAATCGAGGATTAGACATCATGGTCGGGTTTTGAGATCGAGGTTCAAGGTCGAGGTCGATTTTTGGGTTAGGATCAAGGTCGAAATTCATGGTCAGGGTCAAGCTTATAACCGAGGTTGGAGTCGAGGTTGGGGATCAAGGTTTAAGGTCAGGTTCGAAGTTCAGAGTCGGGTTTGGTGTTCGAGGTCAGCATTGGAGTTTTAGGTTCAAAGTTAGGGTCGAGTTTATGTGTCGGTTTCAGGGTCGAGGTCGAGGTCGGAGATTGGGGTCGAGGTCGGGATTTAGGGTCGGGTTCGAGGTCTGTGGTTGGGGTTGAGGTTTTGGGTCGGGGTAGGGATTCGGGTTCAAATTCGATCTCGACCCCGATCCTCGAACCTCAACCCTGAATCCATCCTTGACCCTGACCCCGATTTGATCCCCACTCTAATCCTGAACCGCGACTCCTGACCCCGAACTCCTACTTGAGTTGGGCCACAACCCCAACCTCGTTCCTAAACTCGAACTTCTGTTCATGATCTCGACCTTGACCCTTGTCCCTAATATATGCTTAAGTTATATATTTTTCAAAAAAATATTTTCTGTTAGGTAACCAAACGTTAGAGAAAAAGTATGAAAAATATTTTCCATGCAAACTATTTTCAGTCATACCAAACCGACCCTGAATTGAGCGCAGTGAATCGTAGGAGCGTTATTTCATGAGGCATGTCACGGTTTAGCTATGGTCTTCGGGAAAAGAAATATGATTCTTACAATTTAGCTATAAATGCTCTTACATGCTATGTTTCATGCCCTACAATACTAGGGCTTGACAGAAATATCGGCTGCTGACTACTAGAATACTCCCTCCGTCTCATATTAACAGTTGTGGTTATTAAAAATAGTTGTCTCAAATTATTTGTCATTTTAGAAGTTCAAGACAAATTCATTATTTTTTTCCTTTTTTACCCTTAGTAATAATCGTTCTTGAAGATGGAGATAACACATGAATAGAATAAATATTCAATGAAGAGATATTATATCTTATAACATAAATAATGGTATAATAGTCCAATCACTTTCCTAATTAATATTTTTAAGGGCATGTAAAAGAGAAACACGACACATAATATGAGACGGAGGGAGTACAAAGCTACATCAGAAGAAGCTAAGGGTCCGTTTGGTCATAAGAAATTATTTACTTTTTTTTCAAAAAAATTTCATTTTCTTTCAGAATCGGTATTTTTCCATGAAAATTTCAAATTTCACTTGAAGTTTGGATTTCGGAATTTTGCGAAAATTTTAAAAACTCCAAAAAATAGTTTTTCAAAATTTTCACTTCAAATCACTCACTAAAATTCAAAAACATCTCCAAATTGTATTCATGTCCCAACACAACTCTAATTTTCAAATATCATTTTCACCTAAAAAAATATTTTTTACTTTTTTTCGAAATTTTACAATTCTTATGTCCAAACGCCCACTAAATAGTTAGTGAAAAACAAGTAAATTTTTAACTCTCGTCTCTTTTCTCACCGTTACTATTTTTAGCTATTATCTTCTACGGTTCAAAGGTTTAGTTTGTGATGAGAGGACCTTAGAAAAAAAAAATAGAGAGGAGAATAGGTTTGTATTTATAGGGAAGGGTATCTTTGTGATGGAAAAAATTAAAAATGGCTTCTGACTCCAAGGAAAAGCTACTTTCTTTCGGCTTCTTCATAGCAGAAAAACTACTTTTGCTAGGTTAAAAACTGTGTGTTCAGGGCACTTGTATATTTTTCGACCATTACAACTGCTACATATATCAATTCTCTAAAATAAGCACATTTTAAGAAAGAAAACATTAGCTTCCCAGAAACTTGACAAACATGCTGTAAAAATTGTCAATATATATATATATATATATATGTCAAATTCTATAATAGTATACCAAAAATTGAACTCCCAAGAAAAATGGTAAACACATACCTTCTAACGTATTATTTCCAAGAGTTAAATCTTGCAACAGCTGTAAGTTACCTAGTTCTCTTGGAATTATTCCATCTAAGTTATTTTCCATCAAAGATAGGACTTGAAGTTGTGAGCATTCAGAAATGGTTCTTGGTATCTGTCCTCTTAACTTATTAAAGTTAAGTTCAAGCTTTCGCAATCTGGGAAGGCGACGACACAAATCAGATGGAAGATTACCAGTTAAACCAGATTTTTCAAGATCCAAATCTTCTAGTAATGAGATGTTGAACATAGATAGCACATTAGAGCCATTGAGTTTATTGAATCCAAAGCTCAACAATTTCAAACTGTGAAGATCAGTAGCTATTCCTCTAGGAATATTTCCTTCCAAATTGTTGTAACCTAATTTCAAGAATCCAAGATTCTTCATTCTTGAGATAGAAGAAGGAATGAACCCACTGAAACTATTCATTTCAAGAGACAACATTCGAATATCACCCGAAAACGAAGGAATTTGACCAGTTAAGTAGTTGTTACTAAGATCAATGGCTCTCAATCTTGGTAAATGAGAAATTTCTGGTGGAAGTTCGCCATGGAAATCGTTGTGGCTTAGATCAAGTGAAACAAGAAAAGAGAGATTTCCAAGTTGTGGAGGGATAGTACCATTAAACCCTAAACCTGAAATATTCAGTACAGTAACTCGTTGATGACGAGAGCCACAAGTGATTCCAATCCATTTACAAACTGTGGTTGAAGAAGACCAATTTGTTGAAAGAATGTGATTAGGATCTGAAGTGATGCGCGCTTTTAACGCTAGAAGAGAAGATTGATCTGTGCTTATATTCATGGCTAAGCATGTTGTTATAACGCGAAGAGATATTACTAACAATGCTAATAGCGAAAAGGCGGAGGTGGAGGAGGAGGAGGATTTCTCCATTGAAAGGAAGTGTGTTTGTTGGTTGGATCTCTGCAACACTATACGGTCTTTCTCTCTAAGACAACAGTTTTTTTCAGAACCGATTTTTATATTATGTTGTAATATATGTCTTCTATAACAATATTTTACTATAACAACTAAAATATGTTAGAACAAACACAATTGTTATAAAAAAGTTTGACCGTAATCTATATGTATTGGAACTGATTAATGATAATTGAGAAGATAATGCTAAGAAGTTCTATTATTGAAACTAATTAAGAATATAATGCTAGCAATTATTAACTTCGTTATGCACGCTTCATGCTATTAAAAAAGGTGGAAAATATGTTCAAGATCTAGTACTAAATGCTAACACATGAAAAAGAATCTTCACCACCTTTGCAACGATTTTATATTTAGGCTTCATTTGTTTTTGTTAAGACTAATACTTTGAATATTAAAATATGTATTAAGATTGACATGTCTGTCTCTGAATACCATATAGATATTAATGAATTAATTAGATCTGAATAATGAATAATTAACATTGTTTATTTTTTTAACATCTGAATGTATATAACTTATTTTGATTTAAAATTAATAAATATAAAATCTAAATTAAATACTAATTCATCTAATTCTATATCAATAAAATATAGTTGGTGGTGATAATGGCTAATAGTGGCTGGTAATAGTAATGACTAACGGTATTGATTGTAGCATGTGCTAATATTTAGGAACTTCATTAATCCTTCAATCCTTCATTAATCTAATTTAAATACTAATTCATCTAATTCTATAGTTAGGCAAGTGCATGAAGCATCGAATCATTGGTCAACTATTTCATAGGAGGCATACCCACAAAAATTAGGAACTTGTAACAATGTAATTCAGCATTAGCTATTAAGAATTAACAATTTAAATGATAGCTACTTTAATCACAAATCTCGAGTTCAAACCTTACCCGTTTTTGGTAGGGAGTAATTCAGGCACTGACTTCCAGCTTTTATTAAGTCTTTTAATTAAGTGATTGGAGTATAAATAGAACAATTTTTATAACTTAGGTTATCTTTTTTGTTTCGTAAAAGCAATTGAGTAACACAATAGGAAGGTTTTCACGTTGGAGAGGAATCTTCAACATCTCTATCATTGTCACTGGATTTGTATTAATCTTTCTACTGTGAATAATAAGTTCTTATTATTTTATTGTTGTTATTACTTTAAACATGAGTAGCTAAACTCATTATCTAGTTTTTTTTTATGACCGTTAGTTGAATTCTTTGACTGTTTTTCCTATTAATCGAGTCATTTTAATCCCGTTTGTTCAACTATGTGTTAATTCTTGTTTAATTGAAGACCTCTCAATTAAACGCGTCATTATATCATGTTTTACTTGGAACAAATCATAAGATTAGGTAGATATTGAACAACGGCACTTCCGAAAATTTTCTTTTCATTCTCTCATCTTTCCTTCTTTCTTTTCTTTTTAGATAATTCTTCGACATCCTTTTAAGAGAAATCTATCATTTCCAGCTGAAATCTTTTATTAACTTAGAAAATATTGAAATAAAATATTCAGTTCAAGAATTCCACAGTAGTATTGACTAGTTACTTTTTCAATGCAATGCAATATATCACATTTCTTTCCTAGTCAGGGATTACACAATCGCAGAAGCAGCTCCGCTAACAACTCTATACAACAGGTAAAAATAAATAAATAAATACACACACACACACACCTATATATATATATATATATATATATAT